AAGAAGTATAACTTGTGTTACCACAACGGGCTATAGCTCAGGTGTGCTTTGGTGAACAAGGCCGGCACTCCAACCTAAACATATTATATTTAAACCTCTCAGAAATATCAATCTATATATACAGGTTTATTCATGCAATTTATAATTATTCTCATCAAGTGAAACCTTTTGGCAAGAAATTACATTTTAACTGAAGACCATTTATCGTTTTTATCTTATAGCACACCCTACGCCTTTTAACAGAGTGCATTTACCGATCCAAAGAAAGTGGTTGTAGGTGTAAAAACAATCTGAAACCCTTGCACTGATATACTGACTATGATGTTAGATGAAATAACTCAGCTTCTATGTATCCAATGTAATAGTAACCTTAATAAGTGACCTCACTAAAAGTACCTATTTTTTTAATATTCTAGTTACTTTGAAATAAATCTTACATGCAGTCTCTCCTGAATAGATTTATAAATACTATGGACGTGTGCGAGTTCGAGTAAATTAATGGTAAATTGAAGAAAATAGTATATTGTGTCGGTATGATAGCGAATGTTGGTATTTACCACAATTTCGAGTAGGGTAAATTAGATAAAAATTAGGTAAGTTAAGTGTTAGTTAGTTTTGGTGGAGGGAGGAGAAAACCTCCCCAATTAGCTAAAAGACAAAGCTTTTTTGAATCCACAAAAAAACCTCGTAATAGTGGGTAGTAGATAGAGGGTCAACCTAGAAGCAGCCAGAGGCATTAACAAAGGTAATTATCTGGCTAATGCTAATGCTGGAGATATCGCTAAGTGAGTTGAAGAAGGAGGCCCTCAGAAGCTTAAACCTAGTTCTGGCCAGACCTGGACAAAAACACATCAGGTGTTCTGGTGTCATATCTTCAAGAGCTGGTAGACACACACTGCAAGAAGTACCACAGGGAAGGCCGAGTCTAGCTTCATGTCTTCCTATGGACCAGTGTCCCGTAAACACAGATATTAGCCTGGACACCTCAGATTTGTTTCTACAAATTAAGTCAGAGGTTCTAAAGTTAGGTGTTACCATTATGAAAATTTTATAAGATGTTTAATAAATAAATAAATAAATTTGAAAACTTTTAACCAAAAATAATAAATTAGTGCAATAGAAAAACAAAAAAAAAGGTATACAAGTGCAGTGCAAAAAATCACAAGAAATTTTAATTTACTTTACCTCAATTTACTCGAACTCGCACATGGTCTATATAGGAATACAACTTTATTTAACCGTAACAACACTAATGATTAATAGGTAGAAGCATATTTTTTGAGGAATCTTAAGAACGGTATTGACCTATTTTGCAGATAGTCGAAAACAAATCAGTCACATCTATTATAAATATGTGTATCCCGTAAATTTTAGCTTATTTTTGGGTATTGATACCAACATTCACAATTTACTGTAATAGTGTAACCATACATAATCTTTCTTTTCAAAATTATTATCCTCTAGTCTTATTCACCTTTTTCTAAGTAGACAAAAACATATTTTCTTTAAGCTTAGCAGATGGTCAGAGTTTAAAATAATCCTAACTGTGAGCCAAAGAAAAAGATCAGCATATGCAATCTATGCACCAGTTTTCCTTTGCCGGTATTAACTTATCCATCATGTATAGCGTAAATCCTCGAACATTTTTCGTCAAATAATCTTTTTCAATGAAAATAACTGCCAAGTAATTAAACAATTGCAAAAATAAAAAAAAATCAAGTTCTATTGTCCCCGTAGCCTTAACCTTAATAAGAAAAAACACTTAGTGTTGCAAGCGAAGGTAAATGCAGAGCCAAGGAATTGGCAAAGATGAACCAACCGGCAGCAATGCCTTCGAGATACATGCAACAGGCAATCCGACCGGCAAAGACCAGTTTGCTGTGAATAATGAATTTGCGCATGCGCCTCACTGCGCGTATTTTCAAATATTTGCATGCCAGTGCCGTCTCAGAACCTTTTGTGTACTCATACTTCCCAAATGCACGTGATTACTTCAGTTTGGTTCGAGTAGCTGAAAGGTAACCCCATGGCCGAACGCTCAAACTACCTGCGTCACTGGCTTGCATACTTTGCTGCCGAAATTTTCATTCTAAAATATTTTATTTAAAATAATTTCGATATGCAAACATCTGCTGTTGTTGTTTTGTTTGTTATTTACTCGTAACTGTCGTTGTCGTTCTATGGCAACATAACAAAGAGATTCGTCCTTTTCCTTTTCTTGTTGTTTGTAGAGAGCTAAGCAAACTCAATGCCTCATACTCTGCTATGTTTCGCATCTTTCAAATCTATCTGCGTGGCGAAGACGGAAACCAGAATCCCAATTTTTGAATTTGAACTGCGTTTGTAAAGCCTAATCCTCATCAACTCCGCCTTTTTGAGTTCTTAAGTATTTTTGCTTCACGGACCACTAAAGGCGAATATCTGTACACATAAAATCGTTTAAGTACAGAGCATTACGCATCCTTTTATAACGCTTTACCTCTTCTCCTTCTCCTTCTTCTTCTTCTTCTTCTTGTAATTATTTTTAGGCAAAAAATTTTATTTAATTTTATTCATGAAAAAAGAAGAATCATAAGCGGAATCCTTTGTTTGAAGACTTCCGCTGTAATCAAGCAGAAAATAATTAATATAATTGTTATTTTATATGTTATAGATTTGAAAACCGATTTGAATAGCATAACATTCCAAACAATATTCATTATTAATTGAACTCTTTAATTATTAATATACCTGGACAGACTATACTAATTCCGCTTGATTGAAACAAGTTTTTATTACATTTTTCGGGTAGTTTACTCAATTTTTTGTATTGAAATTTTAAACTTATTTTTTAATTTTAAATTTTTTTAAAATTGTTGTTATATAATATTGTTTATCGTTGTTTTCCTTACATACACTCTACTACATATAGTACGTATATATTAGGTTCCAACATGTTAAATTTATCTATTGGACCTTGAAACAAGATCGAAGCATCAAGATTAATCTATAAAATGTAATCTAATCTGATCACGGTTACAATGATCCAATATATTAAAGTGCATTTAAGTGGACTATACCTTTACGGTTTGATTTTTAATAATTGGTATTACCGATTACTCGCTCTTATTGCATATAATTGATTAAAATTTTTAACATTTGGCTTATTTAAAACTTTAAAGAAATTTTTTATATTCCGTTTTATAATTGTCCAGTTTTTAGTGCTGTTAGCTGTTACGATGACAGTTTACCGATTTTAGTTGAAAACCTGCTTTAAATAATTCTTGATTCTTGATTTATAAATAATTTTAATAATTTTAGTGTAGTTCCATTAATACTAGTTTGCATTATAACCGAAAACTTTTTATTGCG